CAGCATATGGGAAACAGGTTGATAAGGAAGGAAAACCGTGACGTTTGTAGCACTGTCGACTGTGGAGTGTCATGAAGTTCAACTAGTACTTGTAACCGGTGTTTTTGTGAATCTACTTCAGCCCAAAACCTGTCGTGAGGATGAAATGATCTAAGAGGCATCTCCTTGTAATCAAATCTCATCTTTACCTCTCACCGAAATTGCAAAGCTTTCTGTAATACTGCACTTTAACGACCTAAATGCGAATTTTTCGTGTTAGTCATCGAGGACTACTGAGATTTCTCCATTTGAAAAAGTTTTTACACAGAAAAAGAATAACTTTTATTTCAAATATTTGCATTCAAACAACCAGAAACGTGAGTAACATACGAGCAAATCTGATACATATTCAGAAAACAACACGAAACAATTTTGAGTGAACGAAGCCGTACAACAGAAACCATCCAATAGAATTTCATCAGAGAAAGACACAGAAGTTGCAACGCTTCAAATGACGGTATTATTTCATGATGCATAAAATGTTCACACTTCCATTGCGGATGCAATACGCTCTTTGGTGCGTTGCTCACGTTGATGAGCCCTTAACAGTTTACGAGCCTTCTTTTTGGACATTCGTTTTACAGCCAAAACACTTCCTTTCACCTTTTTTGGCTTCACCTTATCCGTTCGCTCATTTCTGAAAATATTCTCTCCATTTTCCACAAACAAACCTTGAATGTTAACAAGTTATGTTCTCGCATAACCTCTATGAAATGGAGCGATTTTGAACGAAGTCAACTGAAATTTTCTCGCTTTTCAACAAAATTTTGCTCCATGTTTNGCTCGACATTTTCAATTATCAGGATACCGTGAAATTGCTACACATCAGAATGAATCAGTATGGAGCTGGGATGAAGCGGAAACAGCACAATGTGACGTTGCATCACGTTTGCACCTGACAATAAGCCCCTCTTCTTCGAATTCTGCCAAGCAGTTTTTGACAGTTTCATCAATTTGATGATGGTGGAAATGCAGACCGCATAACCTACTCTGCACCTATGACCCCCATATATAGCTTGATGTGCGATTTTTGCTGACCTTCGTTAGACGCTAAGGTGTTTTATACTTGCGAGTGATTTTTGGAGAGGTTACGGCTAGAGCGCAGACGTCATAACCTACTCTGCGTCTATGAACTATTCCATGCCAGAACACATAATCGCCTTCTTATTTGTTCTATGGAACTTGAATCATTGGCGAAAATTTTCACTGAATGGATTTTTCAGCACGCCTAGCGAAATAAAGGGCTGAAAAATATCAAAAATATGATTGAATCGATTTTAATCACAACAAG